GCCACTTGGCGTTGGAATTACTCAGTGGCAGGGAGTTTAGTTCAGTTTGTTTTCCTGTTGCCTGGCACAGAGCTTTCCTGGTTGGTCTGGGCCCCTGCCCGCGTCTGAGGCTGCTCTTTGTGGTAGCTGTTGTTAGGTGCCATTGAGTGGGCTCTGACTCCATATACAATGGAGCAAAACACGGCCTGGTCCTCTGACATCCTCATGACTGCTCTTCTGTTTGAGCCCATTGTTGCAGCCAGTGTGTCAATCTGGCTCATCTAGGGCTTTCCTTTCCCCCACTGCCGATCCTCTGCTTTACCAGGCATGCTGTCCTTCTCCAAGGACTGGTGTCTCCTGACAACATGTCCAAAGTGTGCGAGATGAAGTCTCGCCATCCTTGCTTTATAAGCATGCTGGCTGTACTTCTTTAAAAAAAAAAAAAATTTATTAGTGGCTCATACAACTCATCACAATCCATGCATACATTGATTGTGTAAAGCACATTTGTACATTCATTGCCCTCATCAGTCTCAAAACATTTGCTCTCCACTTAAGCCCCTGGCATCAGCTCCTCCGTTTTTCTCCTCCTTCCCTGCTCTGCCCTCTCTCATGAACCCTTGATAATTTATAAAATATTATTTTGTCATATCTCACACTGTACGACGTCTCCCTTCACCTACTTTTCTGTTGTCCATCCCCCAGGGAGGATGTTATATGTAGATCCTTGTAATGGGCTGCACTCCTTCAAAGACAGATTTGTTTGTTCTTTTGTACTGTTATCTAGTCAGAAAATGGCAAGGGTAGCAGAGGTGATAAGTGGAGGGAAACTGGCAGGAATCTTAAACACAAAAGAGGTGGAGGCAGGCTTCCTCACAGGCCTCTCCAGCACAAAGGAAGGTGAAGGGCAGAGGGACACATTTCCTTATCAATAGAAGATACCCATGATAATGAAAGGGCTGGGTGGAGAAAGGCAAAATATTCAAACCACCCCCACAATGTCTGAATCTTTTTGGATCTGAGACCAGGATAGAGCTTGAAGTCTTGATTGCTTGGACTTGCATACCTGAAAGGAAGAGGGACGCTCCAGAGGTCCAGCCAAAAGCAGAAGACCCACCAGAAAGCCAGCCCTTGGTGGGCAGTCCATTAGCATACCACATATGCGCCCTTACTCCCCCTCCCCGCCCCCAGGCTTTTTAGACTAGCTAGGGCTTGTTCCACTTTTCTTCCACAATATCCCCCTTCAATAAACTCCCTCTTTCTGTTCAAACCTTCTCTCGACTCTTGTCTGACATTTGTCCCTGGCCTGAAATTTTTCTTGTGAGTGGTACATGAAACAAGGAATGGAGACGCTTGAAACTCTGAGCCACTTCTCTGTAATAGCACTTTCAATATTCTTTGGCAGCACCTTAATTCAAACACATCAATTCTTTGATCTCCATGATTCTGTTAGGTTTCTGGGATGGTTTCCCTCGGTACTCCCTTCTCAATGTTGGAAGAATTCACGCAGCAGAAGGACTTTTGGAAATTGAAGTAACGTTTATGAGGGAAAGAGAAGTGTCATGTATTACAGTCAGAAAGCACATGCTATTTCTGGAAAGCATGCAAGGCCTTGAGAGAACCTTGCAAGAGTTCCCGGTGAAGATGGCCATTTCAGGAGAGTGTGAAAACCCAATGAAAGGGGTACCAGAACAAGAGTGCAGAGGAGCCCAAAGAGAGAGAGAGAGCCACCCACCATGTGTAAGAGAACACCTGAAAGAGTGGGAAGAGGGGGTGCAGCCTGCCCTCAGTCTATTTATGCCTTCCTATCCCCACTTGACTAGGGGTGGCATGGTTCAGGGTATTAGCCCATCCTAGTGGCTGAGTTCGGGTGCACCTGTGTTACGTAGTATCACTCGTGCCTGGCGCAGGGTGAGTGTCCAGGTTGCTCTCCACCTGGGCCTAGGTGACGTGGGTCTGAGCATGCTCAGTTCTGGATTTTCCTATAATTTTCTAATGCGTGCCTGATTTGTTTGCAACCCTTTTATTGTGGCATGGCCAGCTACTTTTAGTTGAGCATACATCTTTGGTGGAGACAACCCCCTTTATCCTTAATCTTTCTACCTCTCAATTCTTTGTCCAATTTTCACAGGCATATGAAGCTATTGAAAATACCATGGCTTGGGTCAGGCACATCTTAGTCCTCAAAGTGATCTCCTTGCTTTTCAACACTTTAAAGGGATCTGGTGTAGCAGATTTACTCAGTGCAATGCATCAGCTGACCTCCTGACTGCTGCTGCTTCCAGAGCATTGATGGGGAGGGAATCCAAGCACGAAGAGATCCCACAACTGGACCCATAGGCTCTCATCCCCCAAACATACATTGCACCCTACCCTTTATGTGCCATGTTTCTTCAGGTCTCCATTTTATTTTAACTTGCTGGTAAGTTGCTCTGATTACTTCAAACTGCTGAGCCCCTTACTTCAAAACCTTGTAACCTCTGATCACCTCAGCTGTGATTCCTTTTAGCATCGCTTCCACACTAACAGAGCGTTTTGAGAGCCATCACAATCCGTTTTCAGGTCTGCCATTTCTTCTGAGGCGTCTGCTCACTGAGAAAGGACTTTGGGGCTTTCTATTTTCAGGGATAAGGATAGAGGTTCCCATAGAATCTATCCCATAGGACAGTGTTGCTTACCTCTACCCCTTGACCTGAATTAGTCCAGAGCAGGGATCTGAGCGGTTACATTAAGCAGCAAAAGAGGGAATTAAATTTAAAGAAAGTGAGAAGGGGAGAAAAAAGGAAGGAAAGATTTATGTTTTTGACAAGACGGCAGGGAGAGGGAATACATCCTAGTTAACTTGCACAACAGGAAAGGCTTTCAACTGCTAAAAAGGCCAACCTCTTTTCCTTTTGAGGGAAAGCAACACTAATATTATCCAAATCTTTTGGAAATGAGCAAATTCCTTCTTTCCCCCCTGTCCTTAGGCTTTAGGGCTTCAATTCTGGGTGATCTGGGGTTGGTAACCCACCCGGGAGCTCACAGGCCCAACACTAAGAGGCCCAGCCTCAAGGTCTAGCTGAGGTTATGGAGACGACATCTATGTTTGTTCTTTAAGATTTGCCCGGTAAATGACAGGTCTGACATGGAAACCCCAGAAAATCGGTTAAAACCCCAACTGTGTGGGGAAGTTGAGATTCCCCAGTACAGAGGTCATAAAGATCATAAAGGTTTTTGAAAAACACCTCATTATACCCCAAGCATAACAATTACTTGGGGGCCAATACTGAGCTGTAAACCTGGGCCAGTTCTATTGGGTCCTTCCTAGTAAATGTCACCAGCAGAGTTATTTTGCAAAATAAGACACTAAAGACCCCTTATCTTCCTGATGAAGATATGAACATAAGACAAGATTGTTAGTTTAGAAAGCGGTCTACTTTTTTAAAATGGTAAAGTCATAATTAAAAGGCATTTTAAAAAGCCTTTCATTTCCAACTAACATTTACTGGAAGCTTCTCAAACCTTTTCTATGTTTAGCTAGGTAGCTATTATTATCTAAACCCTCACCAAGAAGTTTGGTCATTACTAATTTGCAGATGAGAATGTGACCCAGCTCAGAGGCTGTGGTTACTGCTTAGGAAGATATTCCTCAGAGGAATGATGTGAACCCACAAGTCTTACCCCTAGTTTGTGAGACCTTTCTCCTGCCGAGACTCATGGTTCTCTCGAAAGCTCGGCTTCAAATAAAATCGAATGTGTTACCAAGGTTAAGTACTTTCGAAGTACACAGAAGTTAAGGAATGGGCATAAGTGAGGTGGCAGATAAAATTTACAGTCAGGAGTATGAGTGAGCGTTGGTCTGTCTCCATTTTTCCAGAGGATAGCTTACGCGATGATTTAAAACCACGCAGTTATAACCAGAAAATGAACGACTCGCAAGTGTTAGGTGAGACTTGACAACGTGGTTAACAGGTAAAGGCTCACCGAAAGGCGCCAGGACAATGGCACTTGTTTTATCTCAGGAATTAAATAGGAGGGCCGCGGATGGGGAGGCCGAGGCAGGTAAAAAGCCAGCTCTCTGGCGTCCTACTCCGTTGAAACTGCAGGCACCCGGCGTTCCAGATGCTTCCGAACAGTTTTCCGTGGGTGTGAACCAGACTCCATGTTCCACGCATCCCGACCTCACTATTTCACCCCCCATCCGTCCAAGCTCTTTTAAACTCGACCGTGGAGTGGGCAGGCGCCAGGGTTGCACTTCTCGGCCACCACGGAAGCCGATCCCGCCGGCCGCGCGGCGACGCCTTCGCCAACTACTCGGGGCCGCGCGCCGGGCCGGGAGGGGCCCGGACACGCGGGGGTCGCTGCCCCCCGCGTTGTCCGCGGCGCGCGTGGCCTCGCGGCGTCGAGAGGCGGGCGGCGCGGGAAGACGTGCCCCGGAGGCCGACCGAAGCGGTCGCTGGGCCAATGCGCGCGGCAGTGTCCTGAGGTGACACCGACCGCACGGCACAGGCAGACCGAGCTGCCGAGCAACGAGTTCGCACCGGGGATTCCTCCTGGTGCGTGGCCCAGTTTGAACTCCGGACGGGCTCCCAGCCCTCCCCACACCGCCACGCTCTCAGGCCTTCCCTGGGGAAGCCTGGCGCCCCTCCCCTGTGGCTCCGGCGGCGTGCGCGCGCGCGCGCGATTCCTCGATTCCACAGGCGGTTCGAGCCCCGGTGGGGGCGGGGTACGTCGTGCTGGGGGCCGGCAGCCGCCGGGGGAGGTGGGACCGGGGCGGGGGCTGGGCGGGGGCGAGTCGGCGTGGGGAGTTCCTTGCTCGCGGACCACACGCTCGGCGGCCCAATCCGGAGCCAGCCTCGAGCGGTGTCGCACGCGGGACACGTCCAAACGTTTGTAGGCAGAACTGGTGAGGGGGAGGGGGTGAGGAGAAGGGAGGAGAATTGAGTGACAGGTTTGCGGGGCAGGCTGGGAGTCGTAGTTCTCAGTTCCTGTGGCCATAGCCATTTTGTAGTCGGGGGACTACAACTTCCAGAAGATCAAGGGGACCATTCTAAGGTGCCCCGGGAATAGGCGGCTCTCCCCGGGGCCGAGCGTCCTGGGGCACTCGTACCGGTCAGCCCGGCTACAGCTAGAAGTGAAGGCAGAGGCGGGGGCTAGCGTGTGGCGGCCGTAGGGTGAGCGGCAAGCTGGGGAAAGGGGGTGAGGTGGAGCGCCCGAGCGTGCCATGCATTGAGCTAGGGAGCCTCTCTCAATTCCACCTCTAGGATCGGCGTGGGAGCGATGCCGGGAGGTTGCCTGCGCCGGGCTTGTCTTGGCTTCTCGGGTGTCTGGTCGACGGGGCTGCGGGGCTCCTCTGGCCTGGGCCCGGGGTGGTTGGTGCTTCGGTAGGCGGGAGCCTGGTGGCTCAGCTGTGGGAGTTTTCGGCTAACACCCGACGGGGAATTACCCGAGGAACCCTAACTTGTATAAAAGCAGAGTCCATTTAAAGTTGGGCTGGATAGCCTCTCTCTCATTGGTCAGGGGGCTTGGAAAAAAGAGACTCCGCGAGCCCTCGCTGTGGCGCCGCCGCCGCCGCCGCCGCCGCTGGAGTTGACTCTTCTCGCAGTGCTGCTGCAGCACAAACGTGACTTCCAACATTTTTTATTTATCTTTCCCTTTTCTTTTCCACGATGTAACTACAGCTCAGATGCTAAAGACCTTCACATTTCGCTGATGTAGTTTTTGGAGGAAAAAAAAAGGGGGAGTGAAGGGCGTCGGTTTTTTTTTGTGTGTGTTGTGTTTCGGGGGGGAGGAAATTTTCCATTATGAGTGTTTTACTAAAGTGAATTTTTTTGTTTGTTTGCTTCGTTCGTCTTTGGCTTTTTTTCCCCCTTTACAATTTCGGATTTATTTCAAGGCGAATCTGGCATTGGGCGAAGAGGAAGAAAACTCGGATTACAAGATCAACCACCAACAACAATAAAAACCACCAGGATATTTTTTTGAAAATTTCTGACGGCTTTAAATTCATGAAGCAATTGTCCTCTTTTGCAATCAGCATTTGGATCTCAGAATGAGCAAGGAAAGACCCAAGAGGAATATCATTCAGAAGAAATACGTAAGTGCTGTTAACAACACATCCTTTGACTTGCAGTTTTAAGCAATGGCTGTGAATGTCAAGTTTATAGATAATTCTGCAGCTGACGGGTTTTAAACACAGCGTCCGATAAGGCTGTTTCTTTCTTTCCTGAAAGAGGGCTTTTCAGGCAAAGTCGTGCCTGCCTAGTTTGGCTGAAAAAAAAGATTGGTGTGGAGGTACCTCAAGTGAATAAATTGACCTCGAATGACAGAACCATAATTTAGTTTTAGATGAAAGGCGAGGGGGTTTCCGTGGAGCTTGGAGAGTAGAGGGGGCTGCGGTAATGTAACTAAACTGCATTCTCGGGTGGGTTTCGCCCTATATTGCACTTTGCATGCAAATGAGCCTGCGTTATTATTGTTAATGTTATTTGGAAAATCGTGTAACGCTTGTGTTGGAAGCCTTTTAAGTTGCAGTCGAGTGTCCGATTATGGCGATCTTGTTCCTTGCACTAGCACATCAAATTTAATGTATGTGGTCGTTTTGGCTTATCTGGTTCGCAACGTAAACCAGTTGTGAATCATGTTACAGCGAGTACATTTGTTGGGATTGACTTTAATAATGGGGCTGGTTTTGTTTAAAAATTTATGGTTTCGAGTTTTTTTGGGGGGGGGCGTGCGGTGGGGAGGGGACCTACACTGGCTGTTTTATAAGTATGTAAGTGCATATGTAAGGGACTCCAAATAATCTCTGCCAGTTAATTGGCTTCGGAAATTGGCTGAATATTGAGATTTAAGTGGCTTGCAATAGTTAAATTTGTTTTGTGCTTGTAGTACAGCTACATTTTGATTGGCATGGAGAATGTTTTTGTTTTCTGTGCCCCCACTTTCTTTTTAAGTTCGGTGGGAGGGGGAAAGGGGAACAGGGATTAACCAAATATGCACTCGAGTGATTGGTGATTAGCTGCATGCTTTAAATCAAAGAACCCATTTTTTTTTTTAAAAAAGGACGAATGAGCATGTATTAAGGACAATGCAACGTTGTAAGAAAGTTTTATTTAACTCTAGTCGAAAATTGGGTGTTGCTGTTTTTCATCAGTGTGGTGTAGTGGGAGATGACCTTCGGGGCACTGGTTTTGTAAGAAATATATTTAATGGAAAAAGTGGAATGCCTTTTTTAGTGCATTAAGTCTAATGCAGACACTTAAAACTTCAACTCTGAAAGCAATAGGTAAAATAACCTAGCCCAAGTAAAAAATGCTGTATCAAAAAGAATTCACGAATTAAAATACATCCGCATTGCAGAGGGCTGGGTACAAGCATGGGACTAGTTTAAACTCGGGCAGGATAAACTGCATGGAGACAGCCTTGCCTTGGAGCGTGGACGCCTGCTCTGGGCACGTTCGTTTCGGCTGCAGGCACAAAGCAAATTGGGCAGAACTTGGACAAGAACATCAACACCCCCCCTCCACACACACCCCACCCGACCTCGTTAAGTTGCTTGCAGAGCCGCATGAGGTGGAATTTTTTTGTTGCTGTTGGTCCGCGAGTGGTGTGGCCGCCCAAGTGCCGAGTCCGGGTGGGAGCCACCCTTTCCGTGGCGACGGCTGAGCGTGGCGGAGCACGAGTTAACACTCCGGGAGCGGGGCCCGTGCTCCCGACGTGCTCGAGCCGG